AAAATCATCTTGACGACTTAAGGATAGCAAGCCATAAGGTAGATGAGGTCGAGAATATTGTCAACGACCAAGAGTGGAAGTTAAAACACTCGAACATAGACCATCACCTTTCCTTCCTGTCCTACGCAGGAATGGTCATGATCTTCCTTTGCTGTCATTGTAGTAAATGTCGCAAAATTTTTCCAAACGCGTCGAGGTGGTGGAATGATAATAACTCGTGTACCAACATAATATTTAAACCCAAGATTGTGAACTCAATCCATTCCTCAAGAGAAAGCTTAAAATTTCCGAATAGCAGGGCAGGTATCAAGCAAAGATCGTCACAAGACGATGCCCTAGAAGCAACTGAACTTGTGTCATTAAACACTAATGCAAAACGTATTGGTTCTTCTGGCAAACGCTGAATGTTAAATGTACATCGCAATCCAAGCCTTGTTAGAATAGTGCCTAAGCGCCACACAATTGTAAAATAATCGCCATGTAATTTTGCTTAAAAATAAGCACTATTGTTGCTAATTTTTCCTTGGGGGGTGTCGCATATGGACCCTCTTGCCATACATCGACCCTTCACACATGTACTATTTGATACTTTAGTTCTTATTATTAATAGATACTTGTAATTATCAACCAAATTGTAAGAGTCAGTAAGCTACAGATGCTACAGGCCAGACTGTGGATATATTGAACTATAAATACGATAAGAAGATTACTGTACAAAAATCCGAATAAACTAATACCCCACGCATCTCTAGTTATGTGTCGCCCTATGATGAACTCCCGCAGCTGTTGATGAGTCTGTTTGCCCCCTCCGGCACACGACACACCTTTAATCCCTTTACAAACCACTGTCTGTAAGCACAACGTGGACTACACCGGAATTCATTACCGAACGTCACGTTCTACTCTGCATTACGCCTAACACAATCTTGTTTCATAGTTTTCTGACTCGAGATAATCTAAACTGGTGTAACTTTAATGCAATCTATATATCTCAAGTGGACTTGAAAGTGTCCAACTCACTCAATCAACAGATTTCCGCTCGGTCCACGCTCCGGTATCCCATCACCATCCTTCGGGATACAACAACTGCGAGACATGACGTCAGTGCATTGTTGTACTATGTTGACTGCTTCACATTGTTGTCTGTCTCTTAGTAACGGCCTGTTGACGTCTTGTGTGGCGAGAAACGTGAACAAGCGTTTAATCGTGAACCGTAAATATTTTACTCAGATAATATAATTTAACCACCAGGAATATTTTGGCCATAAAATCTTCTTCATCGGGATGATCAAGTTTATTCGGTGTATCAAGTCAACAATTAAACGTGGCAACGAAGGGCAGGATAAAGTTGGAGCCTGCAGTCGACAGCAACGGCAACTGCACATCACGGACTTGCCGCCAGAGGTGCTGGCTCTCATTTTCGAACATTGCTTTTACGATTTCTTGGCTAGACAAGTGAGGCTCGTGTGCAGACGATTCCGTAACGACGCCACCTTAGTTCTCAATTGCGGGTTCTTGACCTTGGGTCCCAAGATTGATCGAGCTATGGTGGATGCCGTGTCTCGTTTTGAAGAAAGTCGAACATTGGAAGAACTTCTGGTAACGACTCGTCCTTTCAGATCAGCTACGGTGGAAGACTTGCCTCGTATAGGACAAGGTCGAACAAATGAACAAGTGCTAATGGACCAACATTACATTGCACTGATGATGATGAAGTGGCGGGTAAGAACCGAATCTTTGTAACGAAGAAACCCTTAATGGTGTTGACGAGGGTTTAACATTTCTGATTGTAAAAGAAGGGCGTAAATCCTGTTGTTTAACGCGGACTGAGACGGGGCAGATTCAGACGCGTTCCTGAAAACTGCTGTAGGCCGACGAAGCTAAGAGTGCACGTGGTACACAACAACAGTCAAAGCGACGTCGTTCGTTTAATCGACCAGAGTATCAGTGACATAGAAACTTATCGACAGTCAGGTTACAGTTCTGATACTGTTACTATATACGCGTCTTTACGGAACAGCAAAACAACAATAAAAATCTTGAAACTTTGCTTACCGTGTAGTGTATTAGAATATAAAATAAGCAAAGAAACAACTATTAACACTATAAAAAAGACACTATTGCCATACGCGTTTCGACCTCAAGAGGTCATCATCAGTGGCATCAGGGAAATTAATTCATTTAATCAAATGGTTTAAACGGGATTTAGAAAATAAATAATTAATAGGGTATTTCAAGCGACACTGCACTAGATGTTGTTATTCACAGGAGTTGAAACTCTGCACTTAGCTATTGATCCAGTGGCCGTAGCTGGTTGCGGTGGGCTGTGGTGTGTCGTCCGCACCTGTGAACTCCAGAATCGTGGGTGTGAGGCTGTCAGTTGGAATGCGTGGGGTATATATAAGCTCGAAATCAGGATGGCCAACTATTGAAAATTTACTTTCTCCTGTTTAATGCCAGGTCAAATAAGCGTTAGAATCTTTGGTGTTTTGTTCGTTAATGATGGCTCTGTGTTTACTACTTTTGTATATATGGAATTTTTCTAAAATATCTAGCATTTTTCCTTTGGAGCTACTCTTAATATGTCCATGATATCATCTATGGGGCCGTATTCGTGTCCGTGTTCGAGGATGTGTTGGGCATATTTCGATTTTGTTAAATTGAACCTGATGTCCTGGATGTGTTCTATAAATCTTGTTTTAAAATCCGTACCGGTTTGGCCAATATAGACCTGCTCGCAGCTTCCGCATTTTAACTGTTATAAACCACTCTTATTGTATTTGTTACCCTGTTTTCTTGAACTGCATTTGAATTTTATGGTATTGTATGCTACTTTTACATTTATGTTTTTGAATATTTTAATGAGCGTTCTAATGCTATTATTAAAAATTGTAACGCTGGACCATACTTTATTAGTGAGTTGGGGTACATTGACATTGGGTTTAGGTGCTTTTATTAGCTTATAGGATCTTGTGATATCATTAAAGTTGTAACCGTTGTTGTATCTTTATTTTTTGGATGAGTTTGGTTTCTTTATCGAATTCTTTTTTTGGAGAATGGTGTTTTGTGCAATCTGTTCACAAGGAAATTGAATGCAGGTTGTTTGTGAGAATTGGGATGGTTAGATGTTTTGTGAATTACTATGTCACAGGTACGGACGACACACCACAGCCCACCGCAACCAGCTACGGCCACTGGATCAATAGCTAAGTGCAGAGTTTCAACTCCTGTGAATAACGACATCTAGTGCAGTGTCGCTTGAAATACCCTATTAATTATTTATTTTCTAAATCCCGTTTAAACCATTTGATTAAATGAATTAATTTCCCTGATGCCACTGATGATGACCTCTTGAGGTCGAAACGCGTATGGCAATAGTGTCTTTTTAATAGTGTTAATAGTTGTTTCTTTGCTTATTTTGTATACAAAACAACAATAACAAATAAAAATGACACTCATGAGGAAGTTAGGAGGAGATTAAATTCTGGAAATGCTTGCTACTTCTCAGTTCAAAATATTTTGTCTTCCCGTCTGATTTCTAAGAACCTGAAAATTAAAGT